AATTTGAAACAAAAAAATCCCATCAATAAATGACTTATAAAATGAACCAAATTATGCTTCTAAAAAGTGACTCATATACTGAACGGGAGGAGTATTATATTTGGTAGTATATAACTAAGAAGTATAAATGACTTAATGATTATTATGTTTTTGGTGCACTAAGGGGTCTTGGGTTCAAACCCTATTGCCACCTTAGGGTATTTGACTTCCAGCAATGGTCTAGTTGCCGAAGCTTTGGTGGTCGTTGTTGGGGGTGGGTGGCAACAGGGTTCTTGTGAGTTGAGTTTTTTTTAAAGGCATTATAGTCATTTCTCTTCAAAATATATTTTCAATTAAATCCTTTAGTCCTACAATAAGTTTTTAGAATTCTTTAGTCTTGATTTGATATAACGTCCAATTAGTGGTCTTATAATAAAATTCTTCCTAAAACTTTTTCAATTTTAGAGTAGTACTAAATAATAAATAAGTGTCAACAATTAATTATCCTAACATCAACGTTATCTTTCTCTCTTGGAAGAGGTCCTATGTTTGAATCCAGTATTGACCTGCTTGTGTGCGTGCGTCTCTCTTCCTTATGAAGAGACTGAATCCATGATCCTTTAGTTCCCAAAACACATTAAAATATTGAACAAACTAGGGGTGTTCATGAGACGGGACGGGACCGGGACACCTCTATCCCGTGACCTATCCTGAAAAATGATAGAGACTCAATTTTTATCCTGTGTCCCTTCCCATCCCGAAAGGAGTTGGGACAGGATCGGGACAGGATTGGGACGTCTCGAGTCATGACGAACTTAATTAAATTTTATAATTCAGTTATAAAAGATCTTTTAGAATAAATCAAATACTACAAATACAAAGCAAATTATAAAAGGTACTATCTAAAATGCTAACTTCTTTAAATCAAATACTTAACATGAAGCCTCAAATTGATCACATAATGTAAATAAAAACTTATTTTCTTTAAAGGTAATACCTCATTGCTAATGTAGATAAACCCAATAAGCATAGGATAAGATTAAAAACTCAACTACAGCAATATAGGCAACAATAATCAAGCATAAACTCAAACAAAGAAGGTCTTTGTCATTTGATTAACATGTTAATTTTATACATACATCATGTCCTACCCCAGCCCATATTTTGTTCACAATAATTATGCATCCATCTGTTTATTAGCTATATATAACGAGGGCTATGTTACATGTCCACCATCTACTCCTATATATAGTATATATTATATGTCTTACCTCTATCCATATTCATTGCTAGCTTTTAAGATTCCACTTTAATTTAATTTTCATATATACTGTACTACTACATATCAACCATAAAACCATATATACACACAAAAGGAAGCCTAATTAATTATAAATATATATATATATATATATATGTATGTATGTATGTATGTATGTATGTTATAATCTATTCTTCATAGGATGGAATGATCATATTAAGTGGAGTGATTTAGGGAGATGAAGAGAATATATAGGAATTAAGAGAGTGGGTGCATGCAAACAATTAAATATCAAATGACAAAGAGCTCGTGTGGGTAATACATAAATAGAATGAGTGCAGGCAAGCTGAGTTTATGCCTTTTAAGTTCATTAGACATGGGTTCAGCCCTATAATAATATAAAAAAGGGAGGTAGGGCGATGAAACAGACCTGCAACTTAGATGGGTGACAAACAAAAATGAAAGCTAGATCGAGAAGGAAGGAGATTTGAGGTAGAGATGAAAAGGAGGCGTCACGCCGATAGCCTCAATCGTGAAAAGGAGCTAAGGTAGAGAGGAGAAGAACTTAAGACTGTAAAGACTAGAACTATGACTTACTTGATTGGTGTAGGTGCTGATGGCGTGGATGGTCGCCTGACTTGCATCTTGTGTGAAGCCATGGTGGAATTGTGAAAATTGGAACTCGTGAAATGGAAGGAAAGTGTCGCAGCTATGCCCATCGATAGGGTAGAGAAATGGGGAAAGTGAGATTATAGGAATATGATTATTAAATTCGAAGGTTGCGGATTGAGGTTGTAAGGTAGTGATATGTACAATTTCAAAAAAATAAAAAAAATAAAACTATTATAAACAAGACGGGATGGGACGTCCCGATAGTGAGCCCGAGTCCTATCTTGTCCCATTCCTTTTTTTGTCCCATCCTATAGAAGTCTCATCTTGATTTTTTTTGGGCCGAGATTAACCTGTCCCGATCTGATCAGGACATATCGAGACGAGTTTAGGCTGATTAGGACGGGTCCATCTTAAACACCCCTAGAACAAACAGACCTTTAAAATATATAATGCAAATTTACATATATACATACATATATACATATATGTATATATATTATAAAATTTTAAAGCTTGTTCATGAAAATTTCTAGTTCTTAACGAGTTGCCAATTTCTTGTAGTGAAGTTGTTAAAATTTGAATATCCACTTATCAATATTTATATTGTCCATTTAACAACTTGTCAAATAACAACTTATCAAAATTCAAAGTACAATTTATTAATATTTAAATATGACTTGTCAATTTAAATGACCAACTTGTTTTTTTTTTACAACTTGTTTCTTAAATATTGACAAGTTGTCATTATCATGCTAAATCAAATAATATATATTAATCATAAATTTAGTTTCCAAGCTTTTCCATTAGTATTGTTAATTTTGAAAGTGTAGTTATCAATTCTCTATATTTTAAGTTGTTAAAATTTGAATAGCCACTTGTTGGTAGTTATATTGCCAATTCAATAACCCGTCAAATAATAACTTGTCAAAATTCAAACTAAAACTTGTCAATATTGAAATATAACTAATCAATATTCAAAAAAGAAGTTATCAAACCACATGTTTGATTTTTACAACTTGTTTCATGAATATTAACAAGGTGTCAATATTATATTAAGGGTAAATATAACTTTTGGTTCCTATATTTTACTCACATTTTGCTTTTTGTTCCTATATTTTTGTTTCAGTGTTTTAGGTCTTTATACTTTTATTTTTTATTGTTTTGGATCCTTTCAAGATCCCTATACTTTGTTCATAGAGGGACAAAAAATAATAAAAATAAAAATATAGAGACCTAAAACATCGAAAAAAAATTACAGAGATTAATAGTAAAATACAAGTAAAGTATAAGAACTAAAAGTTACGTTTTCCCTTATGCCAACATACATACATACATACATACATAAAGTAAATTTTAGTTTCTAAGTCATGAGTGTTGTTAATTTTGAAGTAGTGTTGTCAATTGTCCATAATTAAGTTGTTAAAATTCCAACAATCTCTTGTGAATATTGTCAGTTCAATAAAACTTGTCAAATAATAACTTATCAAAATTCAAATTACAATTTGTTAATGTTTGAATATAACTTATCAATAATCATTAAAGAAGTTGACATTTGAAAATCGACTTGTTTAGATATTAATAATTTCACAATAGGGAATTAACAATGTTTTTGAACTAGCACCTTTCAAAAAAATGCTTCTAAACAAAATTTATAATATATTTTATTTTGCATTATAAATTTTAAGGGCTTTAGCAAATTTAGCCAATAATATATGATTAAATAAAACTAATAACTCACCTTTTTCTAAATTAAGATAATGGCCGTTTTCTAATTTACCTTTGATACAAAAGACAAAATTACCCTTAAACATCACAATATCTTGATTTCCCTTTTTCACACTGGTTTTGCTTTCACCCGCTCAAAGATGTGGAGACGACACTGTACTTTCAGTCACGACGACGAAGAAACTGACAGTAGGCAATGAAACAGCTCAAACCAATGGATAAACAGAGTTAAAGATTTAGCCAGGAGACCACAGGAATGCGAGACGAGGTGAGGTAGACTGGAAGCTACATTTAGGTTGAAAAATAAAAAATGCAAGGTAAGGAAGTCTGAAACTGCAGCTTCTACATAAAGCCATATTAAAGCTACAGATCCAGGGTGAGGAAGTCCGATCAGACTTTGTTACAAAAATTAAAATTCAAGCAAGGGTTTGTTGAGATTTTGTTTGATCTATTTTAAGAAAATAATTATGTGTTTTTTGTGTTACTGATCTGCGACACTATATTATTGATATACGACTGTATATCAATTATAAATAAGTTTATATTTAATTGTTTGATTATGTTGATCTACGATAATATATCAGTGATATACTATTATATATCACTAACATATAAGTTATATCAGTTAAAACTTACTAATTTGTTTATCATATATATACAGTTGTATATCAATGATATAATATCGCATATTAGTAATGGAATTTTCTTTTCAATGTCTAATGTCCTCTTCATAATTTCTGGGAAGAACAGAGAGAAAAAGAGAGGAAAAGCTCTGCAATGAAGATGGTGATCCAGGAAAATTAGATAAAAAATTTTGATAAACAAAACCATTGTACGAGAGATGAATATGATGATTCAAGAAAATCAGATCCAAAAATCTAATGAAAAAAATATTCAGAGATGATAAATCAGAGAGGGAGCATGCACAATACGATTTTTGATGATAAAAATAAAAGATTCAATCAGCTAAATATTAATTAAATCAAATATATTATGTTTTAATCATAAATTTATTTTGACGATACAAAAAAAATACATCTAATTAATTTTATGAATGAGCCATATTTAAAAATATTTAAAAATTTAATCCATAATTTATGAGAGTTGTATTTTTTTAAAGCCATTAAACTAATTTTCTCTAAATTTTAAAGAATGTGTTAATTTAACAGTCTCGTGTTTTGAAGAATCAAGGAATCATAAGTTCAAAACTTCCCTTCAGTAACCCCTTTGCGTAATTGACCAGTTTGCCCCATTTTTAAGGAAATTAAGGGCATTTAATAATTGAACCATGATATTCAGTTGAAGATCTTGGACATGTGGAGATGTTTTTAAGATGGCTCTGGTTGAGATTTACGTACCTTCATCCCTTCTCACCCAAAGTTAAATTACATCCCGCTTTAAGGGATTTGATTGTAATTTTTAAATTCTCGAGTCTATTATTTGGAAACAAGTCTCTTATTTGGAGTTTCAACGTAATTTTCCCTTTTTTACCCGCCAATGTTCTGGCTCAGCGACTGCGTGATTCCGTATGACCAAGCCGGGGATTGAACGCGAAGGGATGGATTAACCTTGGATTTCGACTTCGAATTGGGGCAACCAAGACTAGATTGGGCTCCTGTGAGTGCTGCTCCATTGCTTCGTTAACGAAGGCAAGCCGAATCTAGTTCCTCGACGTCGTAATTCCTTGTTTCCCTTAATCAGTTGCAGTTTTTATCATGGGAGAACAGAAGCCAAGCCTTAAAAAAGTTCAAAATTCTTGCGGCTCCAAAATGACTCTCTGGTGGTTCTTTCTTGTAGCTGCCTGCATAAAAGTTCTTCTTTTCCCTTCCTATCGTAGCACTGACTTTGAGGTCCATCGCAACTGGATGGCCTTGACTCACTCTCTTCCACTCTCACAATGGTACTTTGATGAGACAAGTTCATGGACTCTTGACTACCCTCCGTTTTTTGCATATTTTGAACGCTTCCTGTCTATTTTTGCTAACCTGGTGGATGGGAAAATTGTGCATCTTCAGGAGGGGCTGAATTATAGCTCAAACACGGTGATTTATTTCCAAAGAGCCACTGTAATACTGTCTGATTTGTGTCTTCTCTTTGGGGTTTATAGAATGACTAAGAATCTGGATTCAAGAAGGAAAAAGTTGATCTGTTTACTGGTCATTTGGTCGCCAATGCTATTTATAGTGGACCATATGCATTTTCAGTACAATGGATTTCTCATTGGGATTTTGTTGATTTCAACTTCATATTTGGAGGAAAGGAGGGATGTGTTGGGTGGTTTTGTTTTTTCTGCTCTTGTGTGCTTTAAGCATTTATTTCTTGTGGCAGCACCAGTTTATTTCATTTATTTGTTGAGGCACTATTGCTGGGGTGGAAAGCTTAAAAGCATTAGTCGTCTCTTGTTTTTGGGAGCTGTGGTTATAGCAGTCATAGCAGCTGCATTTGGGCCTTTTTTCTACCTTGGGCAGGTAATTAGATCTTCTACATCTTGAATTTATCTATGCTGATTTTGTATCCCACATAAATCATTGCGTTGGCCAATTTAGGACTATTGACAAGTTTTGGAAGAATATTAGAGAATGTTTCGTTGAATTACTGATCTTTGTGGAATTTTAGTGGCAGATTAATGTAATTTAATTTAATTGCTCCATACAAGAGAAGTAGAGACTAAGAATTGTTGGCCTGGTGAAGAAATTTTTATTGTTAATAACTTTCTACATTAAAGAGAGTTATTTGTGATTGAAAAGGAAAGAGATTAGAAGTTTGGACTTGGGTCAATATTAGAGCCTATCGTGATTACCATAGATTTTTTACATTTTATGAAAGTGTTTCCTTTTTCTTTCCCCCCAAAATACTATCTCATAAAAGGCATTGCACAATAGAATAAGTTTATGTTTAGCAAAATCATTTGATAAGCACTTTCAAATTGCTATGAAGGGCATGCCTTTGATGTTAAAGTAAATATATAAAGATAATGGGAATAGGAGAGAGTAGTTAATGAGGGAAAATGTTAATAATGTAATATGGAAATTAATAATTTTAGGGGTATTTCTGTCTTGTGAATTTTAACTTTTTTCTTTTGTTTCAAAAATGAAGGTCCAACTTCTTACTTCCTTCCCACAACAAAAAACTTGCTTCTACCTTAAAGCTGCTTACCATTTTCCCCCTCTTCAAAGCAAACATCCCATAAAGTTATAAGTTCTTTTTTGAAAAAAATAAGCAACTTCTTTCCCCAAGTATGTTCGGCCAAACCGGCTATTGGAGAGATGATCAAGGTAGGATAAGATTCTGCAATTTATTATTATTATTATTATCATTATTTTTTGTGGAATGATCTTAGGATTATATTTTGGTTTTGGGAAGAAAAAAATAGGGGAAGTTCATTAGGCATTTGTTATCAAGTTTTCCATATAAAATAGCAAGTGGAGGACATTTTTTGAAAGACCCTATCTTGTAGGTATTGCCCACAAATACCTAAAAAGTTACATTTATGTTTTGTCCCTCTTGGATTATGTGTGTAATTCCTCTCAATCCTTTTTATACGCAGGTTGAAAACCATATTTCATCCTAAAACCTTCTCCCCTCTTTCTGTTCTTCAATATCATATTAGAGTTTCTGATCAATTGGCTAGAAATTCTGGCTGCCACTTTTTGTCTCAATTAAAATTAGCTTTTAGCACAAGGTGTGGTGGCTTGTGTTTTACCTACACTTAAAGCCCAAAGGGCTTTCAAGTTAGAAGGTGCGATAGAAGTAATGTTAAATTAAACCATTCATGAACATTCCCTTAACAGTTTAAGCTTTGAAGTTGAAACTTGAAAGGGCTCTGAATCCTTGTTACAGCCTTGGAAAATATTACATTGAGGATTTTTGTTTTTTAAAAAAATTGTGATCTTACAACATGGGTAATTCAATTTTATTTCTGCCTTTTGAGTAGCCAGACATCAGAATTATCTTATTGGTCAATATATATTGGATATTATTTGGTCCTTATATTATTTTTTTTTTCATTTCTCTTGATTTTTGATTTTATAGGTCAAGTAACAGAATTTAGGTTTCCACAGACTTCATGTCTCTTGATCTTTGGAACAGAGTTGCATGTTAATCTGGCCTGGATCGTTTACTGATCTATTGAAATTTACCAAGATCACTTCTCTTTCTCACATGCTTGTTAAGATGCCTACCAATAAAGAGGCGGGGGGAAGGAAAAAGAGATGTCTGCAAGGCTTTGTCTTGCAACATTTTAGCTTGTATAATTAGGAATGAAAATGTAGCATTCTGGTATGTTATCTTCTTCATTGCTTGACCAGTAGCAAGATACTGATCACCAAGTGGAATGGTAAATTGTAGGACATAAACGGAGGTGGTCTAGTGGACCACAAAAACTCATTAAGATAACCAGTTCCATGTCCATATCCATGTGAGATTTAACAAAATTTTATGTTGGTTATTGAGGGTCCAACATAACCTTCCTCCTTTATCCAGACTTAGGACCAGCTATAAATATAGATGGAGTTTAATTTAGCCAGTTCTGTGAACCAGAAAAGGCAGCAAACAACCAATCTAAAATAAATAAGGCTCTTTAACTGTCAAGATGAAGCTTCAGTAATTGATACTATGCATTGCTGGTCTTTAAGAAGAATTCTGCTGCTATTTTTACTGTTTACCAATTGGAAATAAGCACCTTTTTAACCCAAGTGAGGAAGACTGTATTTACTATTTACTGCACTCAATTCTAGGTAGAAAAGACTGTGTTAACTTCACTCAACCCAATTACATGTACATTTTTTCCTTCCATTTGGTTTTCTTAATGATTATTCAGATGTTAAAATGCAGATACATCAAATCTTCCACAGACTGTTTCCATTTGGCAGGGGGCTTTGTCATGCATATTGGGCCCCCAACTTCTGGGTATTTTATATCATATTAGACAAGGGCTCTCATTCATGCTCAGAAAAGTTGGTTTCAAAATCCCAACACCAGCAGCTTCATTCACTGGTGGGCTTGTAGGGGATTCCTCGCCATTTTCTGTATTACCTCAGGTATGCTCTAAGTGAGTAAAATTTGGCTGCAATCCAGGAGAAAAAATGCATGCATGTATATGTTGTCATCATCAGCTAGCTGATTATGTGCTTGCATCAAAATAAATTATTGACTTTAGTTGCTATCTACATTTAGCTTTCTGTGGTTATTTAGGACTGGGAGGTGGCCGGGATGGAGGAGGCGAGTAAAGGTAGAGACATAAAGTGGACCACCCTTTTCCCTTACTCTCCATTTCCCTCATTTTCCTTTCATCACCATTAGATCAAAGCCTTTCAATGGTTGACATTTAATATTTGATAAAATTATTATTGTATTTTTATATAAAATATATAAAAAATTATAATTCTAAGTTGTTTTAGATCAAATTTTAATAGTTCAAATATATTTACATATTTTTAAGTAAAATTAAAATGATGATTTTATCAAATATTAAATCAGAACTGTTTAAACTTTGATCTAACGGTAATTAGGGGAAAAGGAGGGAAATGAAGAGTAAGGAAGATGAGACACCCTTCTGCTGTTTGAGTTACGGGTTAAACAGGTCAAGATTTATCAACCCATTTATTTGAATAGGTTAGATACTCCGACCTTACCTAGTGCCAAAAAATTAAAAAGGTACCATTCATTGCAATCAAACAAAAAAACTTACTTAACTAGCTCAAGTTTTGTCATCCAACTAAAACAAAATAAAGTAAGTAATGAAATTCTTCAAACTTCATCTAGGGCTTATGAATCTTGTCTTGAAGGTTAGTTCTTGAACTAAAAGTTGAAATATCATCTGGCGTTTTTTTAAATTCCTAGGAATGATTAAACAAAAGGGTCAACCTAGGGTTATGTTGGTGGGCCCACTTAACCACGGCCAGCATGATGAGCACGCATGTGTGGCCAATGTGATGACATGCCCATTTATTTTGGTGGTTTGATCCATTTTGGCAGCTCTATTTTAGTGATTCTCCAAGCTGAGAATTATGCTTCTTGACTGAAGGTTTGGAAAACAAATCTTCAAGCATATGGGCTGATTAGTAAATTGATTTAGTTATGGTAAACCATTCCGACCAGACTTTAGGTCACACATAAACCAGCACAGCATTAGATAGTAACATAACATCAGCATCAGTCCAACTTTAGCATGCAATGTTTGTAAACATTAAGGTGATTTGATTGGTTGGAATTGGTAGAAGATTTTTTGATATTAGCATTTTTGTTGGCTTTAGTATGAGCTTATGCATGGCCTTGTCTGTTTCACTGAAATAACATAAGCTACTGAGTTATGTTTTTTCAAAGCTTATATACCCTTCATTGTTTCATCGAACTTTCATTCCCCAGTGCTGTCTCTCAAATGTAATTGGTTTCTGTTGTTTTTCCCCTAGTCTAGTTATCGTTTAGGGGCCCAGGCTTGTGTTCTTTAAGTCTTGGTGGCCCTCCTTTATTTTTCTTCATTGCATGGGCTAGTACTCTTGAACCTTGGATTCCTCGAGTGCTACCTTTTTTTCTTAAAATTTTATTACAGGTCCCAGATCTTAGGACGGTTAGGCCTTTTTTAAGTGTCTTGATACCATGCCAACTTTAGTATATGCGTATGCATGAACTTTTCTGTTTCACCAAAATAGCTTAAGCTACTTGTTTAAGTCTGCCACAAATTTACCCTTCATTTCTTTGTTGAATTTCTATTCTCGAACACATTGTCTATGTTTTAGTCATTGTAACTTTTCAAATGCTGCAGCTCAATTCAACTGACATTATTGGTTGAGACTGGTGGTTTTGCATGTATGTTAAAAGGGATGGTTAAGTTGTTTTAATGAGTGTAGCTGAGCTTTAATCATTCAATTTTGGTATCATTGAAGTATTCATTTTTTTAGTTAACCAGTCCAAACAATCTGCAGGTCACCCCCTTGTTAACCCTTACAATGGTTGTGCTTGCTTTATCTCCTTGTCTTATCAAGGCTTGGAAGAAACCCTCGCAACAGATGATTACCAGATGGATAGCCTATGCTTACACGTGTGGTTTTGTTTTTGGGTGGCATGTGCATGAGAAGGCATCACTCCATTTTGTCATACCTCTTGCATTTGTTGCAGTGCAAACTCTGGACGATGCTAGGCATTACTTTTTGCTGTCAATAGGTATGCTTGTTTATGTTAATTTGTTTCCCAGATCTTGAAAATTCACCCCTCTTTTTTAGCCGAAGAAAAATCATGAATAAGTAAAGTCAAAAGTAATATCAAACACTTTTTGGTGGAATATGTGTGTCTAGTTGTCTATAGTTATTTATCAATTGTAAATGCTTCTAATACCGTCAAAGGCCACTCCTACTCCATCTTAAGCTATTTAACGAGGGCTGTGTAGTTTTCTCTGTAGTCTCTAACATGCTGCTCTCGTATAGAGTCCTTTGGACTTGAAGCTTGGACATGGTTACATGAATAGACTCTTGGTACATAGTATTAAAATTAAAATTTGCAGAGGAATTGAGGGAATCGATTGATTTAATTTGTTGAATCAGCAAAGGGGGATATATACAACTGTGACCCGTGATGTTGAAAAGAAATAAATAATGTGCAGGAAATAAAAAACAAATTCTAATAGATTATATCCTTGATAAATATAAACATTTACAAAGATGTTTCCGCACTCCCCTTCAAGTTGAATCATAAATGTTAATCATGTCTGGCTTGCCAATGAAGTATTAAAACTTGTGTTGAGCTAGTCCTTTTGTGAGAATGATAGAGACTTAGTAGCATGGGATACCAAGTCCCACATTGAGTAGTATGGGATGCTCAATGGGGTATATAAGTGGGTTAGTTCTCCCACTTCAACAGCTAGCTTTTGAGGTAGGGTTCCCCATCCTACTTAGGTACCTATCGATATCTGCCATTCCTTCTTTGGAAGGAATGTAGACTAGGTGAATTATGCCATAATCTATCTTCTCTCTTATGAAGTGCATGTCAATCTCAAATGCTAAATCCTATGACGTTGAACTGGATTATAGATGTGTTTAGATTAAAAAATTTCGACCTGAGGTTACAAATTGAGGTTATGATAAAAGTTTATAATTGTAATGTGATTTATGTTCGGATATTTTTTTTTTAGAAATTAGTTGAATAAACTAAAATTTGTTTAGATGATTGGATTCAAAAGCTAGTTGAGATATATAATAATAAAAATGGACATGGGTTTTTTTGTATATAATTTTGTGACTAATTTGATGTTTTTAGGAAAAAATATTCTGCTTAAAATTGCAATTACAGTTTTTTAAAAAAGTAGATTAAAAATATAAAATACATTGATAAATAAAAAATCTTAATTTTTAAAAAGGACATGAAATTATGATATATATATATATATATGTATGTATGTATGTATGTATGTATGTATGTATATGTATATATATTTGTGACTTATTTGATTTTTTTAAAAGTATTAAATTTCATATCACAATTTTTTTAAAAAAAGGTAGAATAAAAAATTTAAAATAAATTGATAAATTTGATAGGCATAGAGAAAAGGAGATTTAAAAAAAAATTGATAAATTGATAAAAAAATCTTAAATTGATCCAACTTTACAAAAAATACAACAGTGACTGGCAAAGACAGATTAAAGGCGCAGAGAGGGGGGGGGGATAAACCAAAGCAAGGCAACGCACTGCACTACCAAAGCTACTTCAAGTAGCTTTTGGGAAAACCTTGGGTTGGGATAGGAAGTGCTTTAATGATGAAAGTTACCCAAACAAAAAGAATTGGCTTCAATTTACTTCTGGACTCAACCTAAGGTTTGGATGCACGTTTTGCTTATCCAAACATGCTCTACGTGATATGTTAATGGCAAGCATACTATCTGAATAAAGTTTGACCGGCAAGTTCACGCTTTTCTTCAATTCTTCAAGCACTCTCTTAAGCCATGTACCTTCACAAATCCCAAGTGCAACTGTTCTAAACTTAGCTTTTGCGCTGCTCCTTGCAGTCACACTTTGCTTCTTCTCTAGGTGACAAGATTGCCCCAAACATAAGTGCAATATCTAGATGTGGATTTTCTATCATCTTGGTGACTTGTCTAGTCTGCATCTATAAAAGTTTCCACATTCCGTTTGCCAGACTTCTTAAACAAGAGGCCTTTTCCTGGAGACACTTTCAAGTACCTGAGAATATTGTAGACTTCATCTAATTGTTTTTGCCTTGGATTATGAAAATGCTGACTGACTACACTTACTGCGAAAGCAATGTCAGGTCGAGTTATTTCAAGTACCTGAGAATCCTATAGACTTCATCTAAGTGTTTTTGCCTCAGATCATGAAAGTACTGATTGACTACATTTACTGTAAAAGCAATATCAGGTCGAGCGTGAGAAAGGTATATTAACTTTCCCACCATCTGTTGGTATCTCCCTACATCCATTGCTTTGCCAAGAGCCTCTTCATCACTGATCTTGTCAGTTCGTATGGGAGTATTGCTTGGCCTACATACCATTTTCCTTCAAAAGATCTAGATTGTACTTCCTCTGATAAATGTAAATTCTCTTCTTTGATCTCGCAATCTCCATCGCAAGGAAGTATTTCATCTCCCCAAGGTCTTTTATGTAGAATTCTTGGGCCATTGCAGTCTTAATATGCTCAATCTCTTTTGTATCATCTCCTGTAAATACAATATCATCAACATAGACAGCCAAGATAGCTATCTTACCACTCTGATGCTTAAAGAACAAAAGTATGATCACTCTGTCCCTGAGTATATCCCTACTTCTTCAAACCATGAGTGAGTCTCTCAAACCATGCTTGAGGGGACTGAAATTCTTCAACTTGCACACTTGATTCAGTTTCTTTCCGAGGAACTCTGTAGGAAATTTCATGTAAACCTCCTCCTTGAGTTCACCATTCAAGAAGGCATTTATGTCCAGTTGATGTAAGGGCGAGTCAAGATTACTAGCCAGAGACAAAATTCTAACTATATATTTAGTTTGGCAAATGGTGCAAATGTTTCAGTATAGTCCATCCCATAGATTTGGGAGAATCCTTTTGCAACAAGTCTGGCCTTGCATTTGTCAAGGCTCCATCTGCCTTGTTTTCAGGTGTAAATACCCATTTGTAGCCAACTGGCTTCTTTCCTTTAGGAAGATCAGCGGTGACCAAGGTGCCATTCTTTTCAAGGGCCTCCATTTCCTCCAAAATTGCTTGTCTCTACCTAGGAACAGCCCTGGCCTCATCAATATTACTTGGTATCGAAACGCTATCAAGATGAGAGACAAAAGCGTAGTACTTTGAGGAAAGGGCTTGATAAGAAACAAATCTTTCTATAGATGTTTTGTGCAAGCTCTAGGCTCCCTAGGCTTCTTCCTTACTGCAAGATCCAAGTCTTTAGCCACTTCACTTTCTTTAATAGTTACTTGCTCACTACCATCACAAAAAACGTGTTGACACATTGCATTTTTATTTGGAGTACAAAGGCCATAAAAAACGTGCAGGAGGCTAGCTAGCTACTTGCTGCTATTTGACTGAAATCTTTTAAGAGAACACCTTTGAATTCATTTGGAAGAATATCCAGATACTCAACTTCAACATCTAGTCGATAACCCTGGCGATACATTGCATCATTGACATGGCCATGAATTTTCCATTCGCTATTAAATATTTGCATTTACTTGGACACAGCATAATTAGTTGACAGCCATGCAAAAATTGCTTGGCATATCATTTGGACATGAATGCATATGCTTTATCCTTTTTTCTGAAGTTCACTTGGGTTATTTGTTTCATGTGCAGTATCCTGCTATTCTATATTCCCACTACTATTTGAGGCACAAGAATATCCGATCAAAATTCTTTTGCTTCTATTGCACTCCATTTTGATGTGGTCAGGATTTTTAGCGCAATTTTCTGATGATAATGATAATGAAGCATCAAGAGCACCTGCAGTTAATGCAAAGAAAACAAATAATCATGCTGGGTCTAAAGGTAGTCCAGGTGTAGCTGCAGAGAAGAGAGTGAGTTTGATTGGGTGGATTGAGAAGAGTTACTTGGTAGGTCTTGTGGTTGTCGAGATTTGGGGGAAATTTTTGCACCCTCTATTTTTGGGTGATAAACTTCCCTTCCTACCTCTTATGTTAATATCTGTATATTGTGCTTTTGGTATCATGTACTCGTGGATTTGGCAGTTACAATTCATAGTTCAGTCCCCATGAAGTTTTGTAAATTGGATTTTCCATAATTATGCACAATCATGCATCTAGAGATTGAGACAATTTTGGTAGTGTATATATGCGATCAATTTGTGATTGCAGAGGATTTATACTCAGTTTGCTGATGAACTTTTTCATAAATCAAATTGATGTCATTGTTTTGTTGCAGTTGGACAGTTTAGCATTAGTCGATCAGGTTTAACATTAGCCAGCTCGGTGCCTAACTCGAAATATTATTGGACCAGTATTCTTAAGTTGTGACCTTAGCTTTATGCTAAACTAGTTTGGGTTGGTACATGTAGTAAAGCAATTGAACGCCATTTATCTTGTGTCTCGCGAAGTAATTTCTTGTCTGTTTTTTGGGTACAATCTCATGAAGTAATTTTATTTACCCTTATATTGGGGTCATTTGTCTTTTGTTCCTTCCTATTTTGATGTTTTAATTCTTTAGGAAAATCACAAATAAGGACGTATTGAAAATATTAATAACAATTAAAGTGCGTGTTTGGTTTTTATTTTGTCAAAAATTCATTTATTAAAAGATAATTTAATGAAAGTCAGTTGTTGTGATGAAAATTGTATTTAAATATATTTTTTAAAAGTCACTTTGATAAATTAAAAGTTATTTGGATTATGATAATAAAATATGTTTTTGAATATACAATTATTAAAAAAATATTAATTTATGATAATTTGTAATTTTTATTACATAAATAAATATATTTAAAATATTTAAAAAGTGTGATAAAAATTTTAATTTGATTTATAATGCTATAAACTTGATTTTTAATTATCTGTAATTTTTTTAATTTGTACTTTTAAAAAAATGTGATAAAGATTTGTAATTTTATTATGCATTAATGTTAAAAATTAACATGATTAACTGTGTAATTTATAATGTTAAAAACTTGACATCTAATTTTTATTATTTAAATGATAATTATATTTTCGATGAATTAGCTATTTTTAAAATAAAAGAATAAGATATTAAATTTAGAGTAATATAGTCAAATAACATTTTACTTTTCAAAAGCTCCATCATTTTACATTCACCAAATCCATTTTCAATAACATTTTTAAAGTATTTTTAGAATGCATTTTCATTTTTTTATTTTTTTCCCCAAACAACATCATACATCTCAAATGTGAGAAAGTATTTCACAAAATTAAAAATGAGTTATTCAAATACATTTGAAAACTTTGAAACAAGTCGTGATTTTATTTATAATTTAAAAATAAATAAATTTAAAAATTTTCCTTATTACCAAATGAATAATTTAAACCAATAGAAGGGTACTTATGAATTTAAGAAAAATCAATTTTGAAGTTAAGAAATACCACTTGCAAATCAAAGGAAAAACAAGTGTAAATTCATAGATAATTTCATAAATTTATGCATCATTATTTATAAATTTAATAATAATCAATTATAAATCATTATATATATAAAAGTAGGGTTAAAAATTACAAGAGAATGTCATGTGTCTATTTTTAGGTTTGCTGCAATTTTGTGCTTCGAAATGTCTTTCCTGCGATTTCGTGCTTTGGAATTAGGTTCGACTAATTATTAATTTTTTAATATATATATATATATATATATATATGTAATTCAGGTTTGCAGTTAGGTATGGGATGACTTATTAATTTTTAGATATATATATATATAAATTATTTTTACCTATTTGAATTCAAATCTCATTATATTTGAGTTCAAATTAATATCCATCTATTTAAAGTTTTTATCTACTCTAAAGATATGTTAAAATTTAGGTTCATATGATCAAATATATATATGCAAATATATTAAAATTCAAATTTAATGAAAAAATGTGAATGGATATGGAAATTATAAAATATATAAACCTATTTATTTTAATCAATGTAAATGGATACGAAATTATATAAATTTGGATTTTTTATAAAATATAAAATATATTATATAAATCAATTTAAATATAAATATTAATTGTAATCAATTAATATTTTTAAATGTTTTATTTATATTATTTATATTTTTTGTTTTAGATATTACAATATAGTTTTTTAAAATTTAATTATTTTTTAACCATATTTTGAAAAGTATTTTCAATTTAATTTGTTTTATTTTATTTTTAAACGTGAATTTTTGTTTTAAAATTATATTTTTTATTATATATATATATATATTAGTATGATTTTTTTATTTTTAAAAAAATAAAAAAAATTATACGAGCCTTCGAGCTTATCCCTAAATTCTATCAATAAATGTTAAATTTGAAAAAAATACTTATTTCAGTAAAAGTTAGTTTATGAGCATGAGTCCTTAATGGTCAAGCTTATAAAAGTTGGGCTAACTCATATTAATAGTTTTATGTGCATCTCTTAAATAATTTTGTACTTAAGAAGTTAGGCTTTGTTGTTAGTTTGTAAATAGATTCAAGTTAAATTTTTAAATATTTATAAATAAATTAGAAAGGTGGTCGCAATATATATCTAAATTTATTTTAAAATATGATTTCAAATATTTACATTAATGGATTAACATCTTATTTTATGTAACCAAATTTTATCTAATTTAATTTGAAAATGTATTGACTTGAATTTTAAAGATACATTCAATTTTAAATTTTGAAATTTAAAGTTACTCAGAATAATTATTTATACTAAATATAATTCAAATTTTAAAATTTATTTCAATTATTTAAATTAATCTCATGTATAAAATTTTTTAGTGAGAGATTGTGTGAAAGTTATTAAATTGACTGAGCAATAATTATATTAATATACAGTCATTTGAATGCCACATGTAATTTTGTGTATATTTTAAATTGTAACACGTGTTCCTTTTTGAGTATTCTAAATTAATGTATTCCTTTTTTAGATCTATTCAAGTTCAAAAAAATATATGATTGATAATATTTAATATAATTTCATAAATCTAAAAAAAATTCTATTTGAATTTCAAAAGTTCAACAAATATGGGCATGAAGATCTATAATTTAGATAAAATTATCAAATTCAAATCAAATTTTCCTCCCATTTAGATATTATACTAATCACAAATAAGTGGTATTGCTTACTATTTTCTTTTCACACTTACGAATTTAATTAAGAGTTAAAGGGCAATGTCACTTTAAATGTTAATAAAAATTAACTTTAAATATTAGTTGAACAAGAAATTATTATAAAAGATTCAAAAATATAGACAAGGATAAATAAAGACACGAAAGGATCAAAAAATTTTTTTGGTCTCTTTTCTATAATTTTGAGGTAATTTTTAGTCAACTAACAATCAAAGTTATCATTAATTAATCGTAGGGTAATATTACACTATTTTTAAAGATTGAAGAAGGATATTGCAAAAAAAAATAAATTTAGAATATCATATACTTTTGGACCTATAGTTCAAGAATAAATTTATCATTAACCTTTTAATTAATTTTGTAAAATTATCAAGTCTTTTTTGTAAGACTAATTTATATAAATGTAAGATTTTATTTTGATATTCTTCCAATGATTTTGTACTTTGAAAATCAAGTTTGATTATTAATTTGTGAATATGTTTAAACTTAATTTTAAATTATTTATGTATACAAAACAAAAGGACGATGGTTGCAGGAAGATATATTTTTATCCATCTTCATCTATATTTAAATTTTTAAAACTCAAATTATTGAGAAATATTAAAATTTGATGAACTTTCATAAAATTCAATATTCTCATAAGGTTAAGATATTGATTGTTTCTAATGTAAAGTTTGAAATCTAAAAATACTCATATTTTCCAATTAAATAATTTTATTTGTATTTGCTTATTAAAAATAGTATTAATTAATTTAATGATATTTTAATTAACTAATCATTTTATTTAATTAATAAATATTGAGATTTGAAATTCAAATATGTTATCAAAATAAGTTAAAAGTGAAAAATATATCAACCAATTGAATGCACAAAAAATTATCTTTAAAGCATTTCTATGGTAAAATAATTCTCCCAAACTAATCATAAAGTTTGAGGAGTATTTAAAATTTTGGCAATGCTCATTTGAGTAAGATAAGTTAATAATATTGGTCAATATATTTAACTATTTTGGATTTTCAATATAATGTAGTTAATAATAAAAAGACTTTAGGTTCTTAATAAAAAGTATTTAAGTTTAAATTTTAAATTTTAAGCTAGATAAATTAAAATTTTAGTATATGATGATTAGAAAATATTGTCAATCTTATATATTATAATAATTAAATAATTAAAAAATGAAATACATTGACTTCTTTTCTGATTTACTTTAATTAAATATACATCTTTTTTATTTTTTAAACAAATAAAACCTTTTCTAGAATTAATAGTTTTAAAACAAAAACCTCCTTTCTATTTTATAATTTTAATTTCCATTCACCCAATTGTTAATTGACTGTTGAATCATATATTGAATCAAAATAATCTATTTAAATGTAGATGTTATCTAGCAATCATTCAATATATCTAAAAAAAAAGTCTAATGCATATATATTTTAAACAATTTAATCATATTTTAAAATTTTTAGTTTTGCAAACTTATTTATTCAATTATTTTTTCAAAATATAAATACACAATTGTCTAAAATAATATTTTAAACATGTATATACAAAAAACTTAATGAAATAGGGAAGTAATGCATAATGAGAATAAATTAGTTAGTATAATTTATGCTTATTTTTGTTTAAATTTTATTAGTTTGATCACAAAATTTTTAAATTACTTATTTCAAAATTTTCACATTTAATTATTTAAAGTTCCTTAACTTGAGAAGGAGAGAGAATATACAAATACATTACAAGGGCAAATTAGTGCTTTTAGGTTTTTTAATATAGTTAAAATTAAAAAAATTAAAGTATTTTAAAATTTTTAATTGAATATTCCTAACAGGTTTAACAATTAGATTAAAATGTAGGTTTTAAAATCAAAAGGAAAGTTTGTGTAATTTTAGCAAAATGGAGATTTTACTCTAATTAAAATAAATGGTATTGACTACCATTTCATTCTAGTTATATATTATACTAATTAAATAAGAAAGATTACTTTATAAAGTGTTGAAATAAAATGATAAAGATTGGAAGAGGAAGGATTGAATAATTAAACAATAAAAAATTATAAGTGAGCTAGCTCGCAAGTTGGTGGGCTCTAGTTAAATGGTGCAAGCTAAG